AAGTGGCCGCAGTACAAGGGACCACCCCACTAGCAATAAAACACCTATTTTTAACTTATGTGTCGGAACAGGATATTATTTTAAATTAACCCTTTGAAGACAGAGAGAGTTAGAGTTACTTTACTACTGGTTGTTTAACGCCAATCAGTTCGTCTTGGCGCCAAGCCTCTTGAGACTCACGGCCAGTATTTTTTTTTAACTGAACACATGGGGTCATAGTTGTTATGTAGCATCCTCTCTGGCGAGAGGATGGGTCTGTCGTTTACATTTTCTGCTGGCCCTAGCCAGCGCAGTTATTCTCAGGTCCGAGTCTCAAATTCGAGATTGCTCCATCCTGGAGGTTCAGATCCTCTTATTTATGTCTACCAGTGACAGAGTGGCCCAGTTATATCCACAGGCATTGGGTTCCATTTTCATCGCCTCCTACGACTCGCAGGGCTACGGTGGAGGTATTCGACACCGCCCTCACACGGTCTTTGATGTTTGAATTTCTTGCAAATGTTGTATAAATATTCAGTTCGTACCTCACAGGAAACACACTATGATTTATTTTCCTCCAGTATAAGTAATCTCAAATTTGGACAGATCCATTTTCCTAGATATTTGTGTTCTTTCAGGATACCAGAGAGTGAACATTGTCCAAAACCCAGTAATTACGAAAGTTTCACAGTGGGGGCCCTATAAACAGAGCAGTTCTCACCCAAATTTGTGAAGAACCAAAAGGTTGTCACGTGAGCGGCCACAATGCCGCCCAGGAGGGGGGCTGGATGTTGTAAATCGCCGCTAAGTGTAGAGCTCTGGCAATGTGAATGGTTGGTCGTTGGGCGCAGTCTGAAACACGACGCCATGACGTCACAACAAGACCCCGGATCAATACTGAATCCCATCCCATCCTTCTGAGGAAAAAAAAAGTTCTTCAGTTCCATGTGTTGTCGTGCAGACGAGAGATCAGCTCCATCTAGTGTATAATTATTGTACTACTGGGGTCTTCGCATGCTTATAGTCACGTTTAACATCGTTACCACAATATTCGGGAGCCGGGATAGCTCTCAGTCGGTATAGCGAGGGGCTAGGACCTGGACGGTCCGGATTCGATTCACCGCAGTGTCAGGATTGTTCTCTTCTCCTCAGAGCCCAGACACGCTCTTGGGCATACTCAGCCTCCCATCCAGTGGGTACCGGGGGTAAAGCGGCAGGGGCGTGAAACAGACCCTTCACCTCCATCTAATGCAGAAAGTGTAGCTATACCTCCACTCCCCCATTTATTTAATAGCGTAGCGCTTACTTGACTAAGCAAGGGGCAGCTTCATCTTCACCTTCTAAATAAGCAGTTGCCGTGTAAATGACGAAAGACAGTTGTTGGCAGGTCCATCTAGTGGCAGATCCATGTACTGCCTACAGTCATTGCGCGTATCCCTCCATATGTGAAATGGGTCGAAAGTTCATAGCTACAGCAATTGAAATTGAAACACGCTTTCATTTCTCTTTTCATGTTGCTTTCTCTCTTTTTGCATATATTGTTTCTACTCTTTTGTTTTCCTCTTTCTCTCTGTTTTCTTCTGGCTTTACTTTCCCATTCGTTAATTTATTTCCTACTTCTCTCCTCATTCCTGCCACTTTTTTCTTTGATTGTTCCTGTTTCGCTGTTAGTTTCGTTATTCGGAAGGTGTCTTCGTACAGAATGCAATACTAGAACGTGGATATCACCAATGTCCGGAGCTGATATCCAACACGAGGATAATATATTAAGCATATGGAGATATTATCAGTAAAAATAATTAAAATGAGCAGCGTACTAAAGTGTAGGCCTTTCTACAATATTTAAAAAATCTTGGAAATATATTGTGGCGTATAAACCCGTTGCTAAGCGGTAACTCTGTAAACAGCGGCCGTTGCTAGGTAACGCCCGTAACCAACACGCACGCAACAATAGACTAACAATGTTATGGAATCCTTTTCTAAACAACGGATCGGTAAACACAATAAGGTTATTGTTGGAAACGGTGCTTTCTATTCGGTCCTTGCAAAGTGGTTATAAAGAAGACAATTGGGGCAATTTAGTTAGTTGAGGCAGTTGTGTTGAGCCCTGCGAGGGAGGCTAAGAAGAGAAGGGGATCCAGTTAGTTGAGAGTTGAAAGTCCGACTGTGAAGAAGAGATTTAGTTGCAAGAATGCGGCTGTGAAAGGAAGACTCTATGTGTGCTGTATTTACAGTAAGACTTATAATTATTGTGTTAAAGTCCGTTGCCAGGATACGACTAGTGAAGACTGAGAGGACTTAGTGTGTGTTAGTGATTTGTAAAGTGTGGACATCAGCTATAGCGCTGTAATAATTTGTAGTTCCGAGTTCTGTCAGTAAATCCAACATTAAATCCACAATCTATAGTCAGAACCCTAAACCGTGACAGTATAAATGTTATGTTCAATAGCATCGTGTTCATTCATATTTTGGGCTCATAATTTACTTCAGTTAAAAGTGATAAAATTGATACGACATTTCTGTCCTAAAATTCATGAAACTTATCGTACATAAATCCATATTTTCGATATGTTACGCAGAATCTTATTTCAGATTTTTCCTTTTTATCGCTTGATGGATTTATCTCGAATTGTACAGAGTTCATCCTAACATCTCTCAAGTCTACGTGAAATAGCAACCCGTTTTCTCCTTCGTCATATTACACACTCTTGGATCCCACTGGGAGACGCTTCACTCTTCCGAAGTAAAGGTGAAAGCCAAAGTTAACTTAATTTCGTGCAGAAAGCCTCTAACGGTTTTCAGTATTCTCTCACTCTTAACGCGAACTTTCAGGCTTTGGCTAATGGAACAATAATGCATGCTTTCTTGTCTCTTTTGAGCCTTACAATTAATGAATTTAGATTATATCTTCAAGAACTCAGGAAGTTAAACTTGAAAGTTGCGTCAACAACAGACAGTCGGTATACTGTCACAACAGTGCCAGAGGAGGCCATGACAGGTCTTCACCGAAGTCTCTTTGCCATAAATCCTTACTTGTTTTGACTTTTCCACCAGAAACAAGATAAAGGGAGGTAAATAGTACTTCTGTCTCTGGCGGAACAAAATTGAGAGTCGTAAAAGGCCTTGAGATAGCAAGTGAGAGAAGGTAGCCTGTTAGTAAAGAAATTAATTACGATTAATTTATGTAAGTGTAAGACATTTTAAGTCCAATAAGTTAGCTTGATTTCTGGGTGATGGAGGCTGAGAGATCTGATTACCAATGATATTGAAGATTGCAAACCCATGAAAGAATAGCGCAAATAAAATAATAATAACAATGTAGCATGCAGACCCTTTGCTATGTAATGACTCTGTAAACAACGCCCATTGCTAGGCAACGGATTCCTAATACATACCAGTGAACTAAGTGGAAAGTAATGCGGTGTATTATGTACATTTAACTGACAACAACTGTCTCCGGCTCCAACCAGTGACTTTAAAATGGCTGTACCAGAAAAGATTGGTCACTTTTTTTTTTGAGTAGATAAATTTATGGGATAAGCGCTAATGTACTTGAAATTGCACGGATTGTGACTGTGACTGTGACTGTGATATAGCAATGGAGACTGATTCGTTTCTGCAATTTTTTCACACTGGAAACGATTTTTTTAAATGTGTCTATTTGCTTCTCCATGATTTTCCATCTATCTGTCCCTATGTCACAACTAGTGGACCGATGGACGGATTTTAATGAAATTTGATACTGGTGGAATATACTGAACTTCCATCTCCATGTTCCAGTTTTGGTCAAAATCGGGCAATGTTCATGAACGCATACTTTACATTGTTTTGCTCAACTTGAGCGTAAATCGTCAAATGTATTTTGGAGGTCATAGTTCGTATAGCGCCGGTCTTTGGGCTGGACGAGCGAGAAATTGGAATTTGGTTTCCCGAAGGGCAAGAACTTTCCTCCTTTCCATAGTCTTGACTAGCTCTGGGGCCTACCCCCGTCTCCTGCCTAATAAGTATCAGGGGCAATTTCCCCGGATTTCTGCGGTCGGGATGTGAACATAATCATTCTCCTTCCTCTAATGCTGAACTTCAGAATGCATAGAGCTATACCTCCACTCCCCCACACGTCTTCATGACGTGGTGGTCAGTTAAGCACAGGGACAACTTTACATTATAATATGTATCTAAAGCATACGAAATAGATTTTATTCTTAATGCGTACTTATATAAATTGAAGTGTAGTCCTCTATATAAAAATTAATAAAAATCTCACCTACTTATATAAAGGCAAGGAGCCGGGATAGCGCAGTCGGTACAGCGACTGGCTACGGGCTGGACGATCGAGGTTTAAGAGTTCGAGTCCTGGTAAGGTTAAGAATTTTATTTTCTCCACGTTGTCCATACCGGCTATGGGGCCCACCCAGCCTCCTATCCAATGGGTACCGGGGACGCTTTCTCCGAAGTAAAGCAGCAGGGATGTGAAGTTGACCACTCACTTCCAACTAGTGACGAAGTCAAGAAAATGTGGACCTATACATCCATTCCCCCATAAACCTTCATGACGTACTGCTTAATTAGTTATGAACAGGGACAATTTTGTTTTACCTTTACCTATATTTTTTTCCTTGGCACTACAGCCCCAGTGGGCCTAGGCCTACCTCCATGAACTTCTCCGTTCACTTCGGTTTTTCTTGATCTTACACATTCGGTAGGACTCCTTGGGCAGGTGATCAGCTCGTCGCAAGGCCTCTACCTGTACANACCCATGATCCCGGTTTCCAAGCGCTCGAAGACAGTACATGCCTTAGACAACTCGGCTACCGTGACCGGCACCTTTACCTATATAAGGGCAAAATATACAAGTTTTGGAGTGAGTAAAACGAAAGAATATGTTAAGAAATCCGTGATGGCATCGTCATTCTGGATTTTCATCTTTGCTCTGCTCATAAAGGCTTATGATATTCGCGGCTTTGATTAATATTCTCTTGGATATGTCCATTACAGGAATATGTCTTTCTCATTTAACGTAGGTAACACCCAGCATCTGAAAAATGTATTCGAAGGTACGTCCTTCTCTTTGGGGAATATCGCTACTGCATTTTATACTGGACTCTGGGCGTATGATGGTTGGAACAACCTCAATTATGTCACTGAAGAAATCAAGAACCCATCCGTGTAAGTAACGCAACATATTCTTGTATCTTTCATCTGTGCCATAATATGAGATAAGCGGTAGGTAAAACTGCATTAACGCGTCCGAAAGTTCAATTTAAGTATATTAATATCCAAACTCAATATAATAGGATATTGTTTAAAGATTCATATATTCACAGAATGAAAAATTAAAAGATTTAAAAATATTTTAAAGCCTTCAGCATCGATTATAATTAGTTAAATAATAAGTAAAAGAGAAATGTATGAAAAATTAATGCTTGCGTGTTTGTATTATAGTCAAACACGGAAAGGATTGTTTTAGTTCTTCCTTTTGAGTTCTTTTTTTCCCGTGGTAGCTATCTCATATTTCAATTGCAGTCTCTCATCCAAAGTAATCAGCAACCTTTAAGGGTACCTCACCGTGGAGGCCTTCCTTGTTCTCTCACAGGTACGTCCCAGCCAGCAGAACCTGCGTTAGTTTACACATAGTGGGTCATGGTTATACCAGTGTTTGAGAGTCACTTCAAAATTTGTCACTTATCGTGTTTCAGTAAGGTTCACTATGGAATGCTGTAGTATTACAAAGTGGCACTTATTGCAACTGAGATAGAATTGTGATTTCGAACGTAAGGGTTTGATGTAATCAAGTTTCAGTTCCGTATCATTTCGATTAAAGTTGATTTGAAGTGTTTTATCGATACATTTATCGTGTAAGATCTTATAAATTGTCATTGAATTATTGAATCGAAATGATACATTGAAGACGGAGGGAGCAGATTTTCCGAAATGTTGGTACAAGTAATCTAAATTTTTGCCACCTTAAAAGACTCAAAATTCATGATCTCATTAAGCTGTAATCAACGGTTCTACAGATTGTTTTCTAGTGAGTTTGACAAATTGTGTATGATTACAAATTAACCGGTATTTTTGGAAAATTTTATATTTTGTCCAATCAATGTTTTGTAGCTAATGTTTAATAAAAACGACACGATAAATTTCATACATTGTAGACTGTTCCACATACAGTTTAACATTTCCCTGGGCTGGGGTTGAGAAACAATGCTGCAATTTATTTTCGAATTCCATGAAATGTGACATTTTGAAGTGACATATTTGGAGAAACTTATGATTGTAACTGTCAGACTTCTCTGATATGCTGTCTTGATTTTGAGAACAGAATTTATTGGAAATAATTCTAATGATTTTATATGGATAACGTTTTGAATTATTTTTACATTTGCTGTGTGAAGTACCAGTACTTGTTACTTTCCGGACTTTGGCAGACTAAGTTTCTAAAACACTACACATTGTATATAATTAACACATTATTAATTAAAATGTTTATTATGTGATGTAAAATACTAACATCACGTATATTCATGCACGAAGACGCAAGAGAATATTTGTTCTTGTATTAAGGCCAAAAATTTGAAAGGGGTTCTGCCTCAGATTTATGGTATACATTTGAATGGTATTTGTTACTTGTGTTTTATATCCAGAGTATTGCTTTACTTCAGTGGACTGTGATGATAGTGTTCTTTCTGGGCTGAAAAGAATTTTCATGTTCGATAACTAATAAATGCTTGCGTAAATATAGATGGTCAGTATATATATATATTTTCCAAAATTTTCATTACACCAATTTTAGAGGAATATTATCAAATTTTAACATAGTCCAAAATTAATAGGATAATTATCAGATATAGAATTAAAAAAATTGGTACCTAGGAAGTAATATGCAATAGACTGATTAAATGTAGTATTTTAACATTATCCCTAAGTATCGTATATTATATGTAATATTTGGTGTATATTTACGTATCAGATGTTAAATAAATTGAGGATGAAGTCTGGGAAACATGTAAAATGGGAAAAACTATGTCCTATCATTAAGTATGATTTCTGGAGAAATATGATAATTGAATATAGATGAATATGTTGCATGACTTCTCTTTGTATTCAATTTTTAATCCGACTAAGTTAATATTGAAGAAAGTAGTCTTCTGGGATTTGGCACCGTTTATATGTATGTTAACCGACGATTCGGAGGAACGTTCCTCCGAAACGTCGGTTAACACCACATACACGGTGCCAAATCCCAGAAGACTGTTTTCTTCATAGTCATCGCCGTGAAAACCTCAAATCTTACATAAGTTAATATTGATTATTCCATAATCGATAACAGTTACAGGAATACGAAAGATCTTATATGATTTATATTGGTAAATTAGATTATCAAACATATTCTTTGTAGCTTTAAATAATAAAGGTTTCACAGAGATTCTCGAAAAAATCTTACATATATTCAGTTTCCCAGATTGAATCTTATCATCACTTGCCACAATTCTATTAATAAAAGCAGTATAGAAGCCTCTTGAAAGCAAACCATTCGCCTGATACCTTAAGTCTCAGGTAAATTTAATTTCTTCCAAAATTTGTTTGGTATACCATGATCATGTTTTTATCTTTGCGTTGACTTTTGGTCGGAGTTTCGTGAACACTTACTTTAAACTACGTTTATTTTTATCGTAATAGCTTGAAACATCGAAAACATTTTCGAATTTTCATTCATTAAGGAGAAATTATATATTTTACGTATATTTTCCAATCACTGATAATGCACGTTATACACTGTGTTAAGGAAGAGTATTTGCAAAATTAATTTAAATAACTCGGTGGTTAAAGTTCATAAATTAGACCCAATGATTGGACATTATTCAATAATCACACACTGTCCTATCTACATAAATGTGTGGATATTATGTTGCATGACGTACTGGAAGTTGTAGTCAATTTCATGCTGGTTTTTGTTTCCTACGATGCTCATATTTTTATATATTTCACACGCAATTTTATGAAACATTGTATTCTCAAAATCTATAAAAAATAATAAGAAATAATGCGATTGGCTGCAACAAATATTCTGAACATTTTCTCCTACATAATTAAGTGTCTGTACACCAATCTTTTCTTTCAAGTATAATACGAGATGCATGATTATCATTGAATGGAACACTGATAATTGATTTGTGTTCCTTTATCGCCGAGTTATGAAAGTTGACTTGCGAATACATTTCTTAACATTCTGTATATTGCATTAATGGTTTTGGAACTCATTTTAAATATTTTTAATTCTGAAATTGCCCTTTGAAATTTATGGGAGATGGAATAGTAACAGAGCATTTTTTAAACATAAGAACAAATACACAATAATGACCGGACCATGAAAATATTCCACTGGTCTACTTGAAATTTATAAGGTTTTGATCAGTACTGTTTCAAATGTTTCTGTAGTTTTTTATTCGCCACTTCTAATAGGAGACAAATGATAGAACAGGTAAATTTAGCCTAAATGATTTCCATGACTTATTTTTTTAATATCTCTTGTGACATCCAAAATAATTTTCGAATGCCACCCCGTTATGTAAAAAGCACGCACAGTTGTTTATTTTTGTGTAAGGTACTCAGCGTATTTTACAGGTTCTTGTTTCATTAAGTGCTCTGGCTTATATCCATTATCCCAAGTAAACGTAACATATTGTTTTCCTTTTATTTTCTGAAAGTATTTTAAAAGATGGTAATAGTTAATTTCACAGAGCTTGGGCTTCAGAATTTGAGCATTTTTACTGCTGTGCTTCTAGAGGTGTATTGAAATTAGCTCCGTGAATAAACTGATAAATATTTATTGGGAAATTCGTTTTGTGTAAACTAAGAAAGGAAATAAGTATTTAGTGAATTGTTGCGTGCCACTTTAGAGAAATCCATAACGTACACGTAAGTACCAAAGAAATATAACTGTTTAGTTAAAAAAAGTTGAAGAAACGAAGCGCCAAGAAAGCATACAGCTGTACTTAGTCGAAACACTTTTGTCTGCATCATAATTAAACCAAAGAACTTACTTAGAAACATAAAATATCACTGACTAAAAATGATACGACCTCTCGAATAAAGCAGGAAAATTAATTATCTACAAAATATTTCAATAATTTATTGTTTCTTTACTTGCTGAGGTAAGCAGCGGATGGTCAGTTTCAGGATGAGAACAAATACAAAACATCAGTAATAAAACAAGCGAGAGGACAGAGCAAGGGAACAAGACTAACTGAATTGGTTAATTTATTTACATTTAAACAACAATTTCTAAAAACCAATTTACAAATTGTATTTGCCCCATAAGCACCACCAGTTGAAGGACTGTGATTGGAAGAACAAGTTAACATAGAAATATTTATGATGTTCTGAGCAGAAACACTAATACCGACTGCTTGAAGAACAGAGGTTCAACATTTAGCATAATTATAAACATTTATTATAAATAAAACATCGGAGTGATGACGCCTCATATGCAATGTTTGCAATAAATTGTCTCTCGAAAAAAAATTATGTAGCAAGGGTTGCAAATTTTCTTTATAATAATAGTAGCAATATTACTACTACTACTACTACTACTACTACTACTACTACTACTACTACTAATTTTAGTTCAATTCATTTCCTTTATTTACGTGCTCGCCAGCAGCGAATGGCCCGCAACAGGCTAGCACTGAGCGAATACAGAACTGAAGCTAGAATAAGACTAGAACTAGAACTGCAACCGGAACTAGACTAAAAGTTAAATAATAGATAATAAAGCAATAGACATGACAGGCTAATGATGTAACTGGAACTACAAACTCAGTAAGATTAAGCAAAAGGAAAAAAATCCTCAAGGGAGGTGGTACGTCCAGAGATCTGCTGATGCTGTTTGCATCTGTGGCGCACCTTGTTGAAGGGCTGATGATGATACGAATTTGAATAATTACATAACTGAAAGATAGCTTCATTTTGGTTATACTGGCTACGGTTTTAGGAGAGACAGAGAACTATTTTGTGACTGCAGTTCATTTTCATGTAAGGGTCTGCTTGTTAATTCCTCAGACTGTTAAGGCTCGTCCACATTACTCGTGCTCATGCTACTCACTATGCTCGCGAGTAATGTGGACGATACGACAAGTCACGAGACAAGAAAATTTTTAATTTTTAATTTACAAACTATAGCCAATAAATTAAAATACGACTACAGCCTATACACACTACGAGTAAATATACGGATCCTCACGCGCCGAAGCCTGGCGAGCAACTGAAGTAGTGTGGACGAAGATTTACGAGCACAAATGAAAGCCAAACGAGTCCCCCGACGAGCACGAGTAATGTGGACTCGCCTTTAGAGCTTGAGACATGAATGGCACACTCTGTTGCACTTCTGAAAATGTTCCATATTTTGAAGCTCAACATGACACGGTATCTATCACCATCTCTGTAGGATTGTTGTGTTAAGTGCCCTATGTCACCAGACAGACTTTCCGAGCAAATTTGATGCACTCTCTCCAAAACGTGATCGTCTTTGTGTTCTCACGGTTAGCTACCCTTAAATCATGGTGCTCTGGTGGAAATGCACTTAGAATTTACTCATTCATTATTTCATTTTACAACATGAGTTTATTATTGTTTATGTAGTAATTTGTTAATAATATGTGCATATACACTGTTTTGCTGCCATGGTTATTAATATTAATGGTTTAGGAACCTTGATGGTTTTGGCCACCAACAATTTTCCGTCCTTTAATGTTTAGTGTTTGAAAAGAAAATGTAAGATGAATGAAAATTCATGTTGCCCCTGACCGGTACGGTTCTGCAACCCAAATGAGGTGTGGCTGCTGCGCGGCTGCATACATCAAGGGGCTGCATGAACTCAAGATCGACTCAGGTTTGTATAATCTTAATATAGAAACCAGCATTCAGATTATCTGCTAGTTATTTACAAATGTAAGTTTTAGGTTAGCGAATAAGTACTGTATTGAGCCATGCTTCTCTTAAAAATGTGAAACTTGCTTACTCACACAAAGGACAAAAGAAAAAGATCAGGGGTTTTATTTATTTATGCATTTATTTATGGCTTGTTTAACGACGTCGTTAGAAGATGTTTTGACTGCAACGAGTAATGCGCTGGAAAGGTGGGAAAGGAAGTGTCGTAAGGGAATTAAAGCATTATTCTCGCATTTTCTTGGAGTAGGTGAGAGAAACACGAAAAACCTGTCACAGTAATCGATGTTCCCACCTAGAATCGAACCGGGCATTTCCAGAAAACACGTGAGATTTAACTCTCATACAAGGAATATACAAGTAGCTCGAGAGAGTTGTGAGGAGGATATTTGGACCTAAGAGACGTGAAGTAACAGGAAGTTGTATTTTGCATATGCCTAATGAGCTTCAAAACTCGCACTCTTTAGCAAATATTATAAAGGTTAGAAGGAGGTAAATAAAATGGGTAGGGCATGTGGCAGGTATGAAACATATGAAAAAAATGCTTATACAAAATTAATCGGGAAGAAATTAAACCAGATGACTATTTGGGAAACCTTAACATAGATGGAAGAAAATTAGGAATGTTAAAATGTTTCATGAAGTAATAGGGTGTTCGGAAGTAAACTGGGTTTATTGGACTCTGGATAGGGATAAGTGGCGCATTCTTGTAAATAAGGCAATTAACCTTCTGTTTGAAATAAAAGCGATAATTTCTCAGTATAATCGTATTTCAGGATGAAAATTATGTATGCATTGGTCTTCTCTATGCTCTTTTTCTAGTTTGCACACAGTTTTTGAAGATAATTTTTGAAGCAGCAGACACTCTATATGCAGGTTTCTGTAATACAACTAAACAATAAAACATATGAAATATTTTACATAATAAATTACAAGAAGTGTTTGAAAGATTTGAGTTGTTACTCTTGTAATATTATAGTAGGAGTTGACGTAGTTCAGAGTGCTGTAGTGTTGTGTTAAGTAAACTCATAAGTATAACCTGTCTGAACTGTTGTTGTTCAGGAATCTTCCTCGATCCATCATTATTGGTATCCCGCTGGTGACTATATGCTATGCTCTCATCAATGTCTCCTACCTGGCTGTCATGTCCGCGACAGAGCTTGTGGAATCAGAAGCAGTGGCAGTGGTAAGTGAAAGCCTTATACCAGGGAGTCTCAGTCTTTTGTTGTTTGTGTCCCACCGTTCATTTCGTCAAAGGACTGTAGTCCCACCACAATAAAGAAAACTAGAAATTCTGGGAAGAAATAACCGCCTACTTTCCTGTCACTACATATTGAGTATTTTATTCTACGTAACCTCATAGAAACCACTCCACGTGTATTTAGTAGCTGTCTTGGAACGACTGCCTCTTCCGGCTCCATTATTCCGACTTTCAGGCGTCATGTCATATTGTTCCCTCCATACGGCTGCTCGTTCCGAGTAGCCTACAGGCGTAGCCCTCTTCTTCAACCGCTCCCTCCTTAGCGATACTCGTCTCGTGCAGTTGTTGGGGGGATACAGACAAAGAGATAGCAAGGTGATCTCTTAATCCATCATATATTTTTTTTTCGGAATAGGGTAAGTAAGCTAAAACGTTTATCTTTTCTAAAGTAAAATTTTACAGTATAATTAAAGGTCAAATGAAGAAATTTCTCGTTGAATTCCCAAAGGTGTTACACTAATACATGTATACTATTTTAAGTTCTCACTCTCGAAGTTTGAAGTCGTAATGTTCTGGGTTATGATGTCGTGTAGTTTGGTAGGTATATATCAGAGTTTCGGAAGAATTCATTGCCTCCAACTTCAGGACTGTTATCATAAAGAGGAGACAAGTCATCTACCAGATGACACGGTGTCACAACTTATAAAACCGCAAGAATCATGCAATATATTTGACACTGCACACATTTTATGGATCTTTATGTAAGATGTGGCGGTGAGAGAAACACTTTAGGATGTCTTATTTGCAGACTTTCGGGAATCGAATTCTCGGGGTGATGGCTTGGCTGATGCCCTTATCCGTCACAGTATCAACATTCGGATCGGCTAACGGGACGCTGTTTGCTGCAGGAAGGTAAATACGTCCCTAGTGACCTGGGTTCAACTCACTGAAAGTAACTTCTCTGATCTGCGACCTATATCAACAACATTACTAATATCTGCAAACGAGGAAGACATTGTTACAAAGTATAAATGACACCATTTTGTTTCGCAGGTTGTGCTTCGCTGCCAGCCGAGAGGGTCATCTTCTGGATATCTTGTCATATGTTCACGTGCGACGATACACCCCCGCCCCAGGGCTCATATTCCATGTGAGTATATCTTGTATGGGGGTTAGAATGTCCCCACCGTGGCCCTGCGACTCGTAGAAGGCGTTGAAAATGGAATTCAGTACCTCAAGATATATTTGGGCCACCCTGTCACTGTCGGACGCAGGGCTGGCGACCTTGCTATGTAAACAAATTATTGTTTACATTTTCTAGGGAACATAAGACAGACGATCTAAATCACAAAGGAAGAGAAAATTCTGGATGAATGTTCTAAAGAAGGCTCTAACCCCAAAAGGTTATTATCCTGTATATACTAATGCATGTGGTCACCATCCAAGTTATCACCATGCACAATGTTACTGAAGAGAAATATAAATTAAAGAAGAATATCGGGTACAGCCATAAGGATATACGTTCCAGTTGCTTGCGTCCATATTGGTACACCGTTTCTGAAAATGAAGGAGAAAGATTTTATTGCGGCAAAGGGGCTACACTGACAGTAATTTAAAATGGCATAAAATATACTCGTAGTACAGTCACGGATCTGATATGGCGATATTCGCGAAATAAAATATTTTACGTGAAAAAAATTGGTGATAGAAATTACGTCTTTCATTAAAAATATTAACTTCTCACTAACTTCATGGAGCTAAACCCTTCTTGAGAAGACGCCAGTTGCACAGCTACTAAACAAATTATACAATTTTATGGACTTTAATTCATTAACGTGTTCACAAAAGCCCTCCACTAGTCCCTATCCTGAGCCAGATTAATCCAGTCCATACTACCCTATCTTCTCTCTCTCTCTAAGATCCATTATAATATTATCTCTCCATCTACAATTTGGGTTCTTCTAATGGTCTCTTCTACCTTTCGAACAAATATCATCTTCTTCCCCATTCGTACTACATGCTCTGCCCATCTCACTCTCCTTGACTTGACCATTCTGATTATACTGTATACTATAGGAATTATGTACTATTTTCGGTAAAACGACGCGAGGCAGCCGGACACAAGGTGCGCAGTTCGATTTCTCGAACTGATGATTAATCCGAAATACAAGGGTGATAGACTGAACAAGTGCGTACGTTTTTGGTTTAAATGTTTGTAAATGAATATACATCCATAATTAACATGAAATTAAGAGTTCAGTTTGGGGCTAATAAGAAATGTATTGTGTACCGATTGGACAGTAATAGGTCCGTACTGTACCCATTTTTATCATATTAGTATTTCGTTCCTTTCTCACGCCTAATGTACGTTTCATTCTGCATTTTAATTTTTATCCGCAGTCCCTGATCGCTGTCGCCATGGTGATATCAGGTAGTATAGATTCTCTGATCGATTTCTTCAGCTTCACAGCCTGGATCTTCTATGGGGGCTCGATGCTGGCCCTGATCGTGATGCGGTACACCAAACCCAACGCTTTGCGGCCATATAAGGTGATGTACATTGTTTTAACTTCTTATGGGTTACGCCCGAGATATGTCGTGTAATACAGGAAAAGTTGTTCCTGTGCTTAACTAATTAAGCACTACGCCATGAAGGCGTATAGGGAAGTGGATGTATAGAGCCATACTTTCTTTACCTCATCAATAGTTGAAAGAGAGTGGTCACGTTCAGGCCCCAGCCGCTTTACCCCAGGGGAAAGAACCTCCGGTACTCATTGTATAGGGTTTGGGTTGACCATAGAGTCGGTCTGGAGGGCGTGGATAAATGAAAATTCTTGACCCTACGGGGACTAGAACTCCGAACTCTCGGTCGTCCAGCCCGTAGCCAGTCACTATACCGATTGAGCTATGTCGTGTAATAAAAGAAAAGTCCGTGGTTTCAGTCTGCAGGCGAGCTATACCGACCGAGAGACCGCCGCTTGTTGGCGAAGTTAGTGCCAACTTTTGCAGATAGAGGGTGTCGTGTGGTCAGCGCAACGGATCCCCACGTCCCTTAATCTCGGTTTTCTAGACCTGAGCCGCTATTTCCTTGATATACCTCCTCAATTATCCTCACGAGGCTGAGTGGACCCCGTTCCAAACCCAAAACTTCTCAGAAAATTCGAACCAGGGACCTATGTATCTGTAGCCAGTAACTCTGACCACTTACTTACTTACTTACTCATGGAGGTGAGCTCTTCTGGAGGAGCCGCCAATTCTGCAGCTACTCAAGAATTTCCCAGAATTTTATGTAATCCGAAGGTTCATTACCGTGTTCACAAGAGCCCTCCACTGGTCCCTATCCTGAGCCAGATATATCCAATCCATACCATCCCATCTCTCTAAGATCAATTCTAATATTGTTCACCCACCTATGCCTTGGTCTTCCCTGTGGTCTCTTGCCTTCTGGCTTTCCCACCAATATCCTATACTCATTCTTCGTCTCCACCATTCGTGCTACATGACCTGCCCTCCTCATCCGCCTTGACTTAATCATTCTAATTATAATTGTAGAAGAGTACAAGTTATGAAGCTCCTCATTATGCAGTTTTCTCCAACCTCCTGTCACTTCATCTCTCTTCGGTCCAGATACTCTCCTCAACACCCTGTTCTCAATCACCCTCAGTGTATGTTCCTCCCTTAATGTCAGAGACAAAGTTTCATACCCATACAGAACCACAGGCAAAATTATAGTTTTGTATATTCTAATTTTTATGTTTTTGGACAACAGACGAGAAGACAAAAGGTTCTGGACTGAATGGTAACAACCATTGCCCGAGTTCATTCGCCTCTTAATTTCCTCCTGAATCCGGTTTCGATCTGTTATCGTTGTTCAACTCTGACCACTAGAATATTTATTCTGTGCTGTCTTTACAGTGAGGAAACTTCTCTGGCTAAATCTTCGTGACTCTTTCAACAACAGTAATTGTACATTACCACAGAGAAATTTTCGTAATAAAATGCCAGAACAGAAAGGGTTAAGATGCCCAGTAGGGATAGTCCATAGTGTCATTTCCCAGTACAGGGCTAGTGACTAGACATGGTCAGGCACCTCCCTACGACGAAGAAGAGGCACCATTTCGGAACACTTAAAAGTTCGGAAATTACAATGGTCTTGGGTCCCGAAGAAGGGTGAAACCAAGAGAGACTGTCCCGTCGAGGGCCAGCAGCAATTTATTGCACTGGACTGGTTAAGGTGCTGAATTTTCTATCAGAGTGATTATTTGTCAGTATCCAACCTCTCGTATAGTCGGAACCAGCTTAGGGCGAGATTTGTTATCCAGAAATTCTGAAAATATCTCCCAATATAAAGAAGTTTTTGTAAATCTGAGATACAAGCTCATACTCTGAAGATTACTATCTTATGTGATATGAAACCGACGTTTCAGAAGAACCAATTTCCCGAAACTTTTTGGGATTGTTTCCACTTTCTTTTACATTCCAGAAGAGAGTAATCTTAAAAAAGGTGTTCAAATATTTTGTTTGAATATAAGTTATAAAATGAGTCGGAAAAGCTTTGTCGGTATAGCGACTGGCTACGGGACGGATAACTGAGGGGTCGGAGTTCAAGTCTCGGTAGGGGCAAGAATTTTTTCTTCTCCACAGCGTCCAGACCGGCTCTGGGGTCCACCCAACCTCCTATCCAACGGGAACAGGGGGCTATTTTCCCAGGGGTAAAACGGCCGGGGCGTGGAGCTGCCCACTCACCTCCAGGTAGTGCCTAAGTTATAAAAGGAAGAAACTATTTTGGAATCCAAAACGAGAGAGGATAACATTATTATACATGTAGGAGAACTAGATTGTGATTGGATTGATGCGGCTAAATAGGCGATTTAATGACGGATTTTGTGAAAAAACTGATGAAATCTCGGGTATTCTAAAGGCACGGAATTTATTGTGTGAGATTTGAAATTTTCATTGCAGTGAAAATTTTCGATAGTGGTTTTCCGCGGTTAAGACGCAGTTTTTTTAATTGCTAGTGGGTGGGACTAAGTCCCTTGTGCTGCGGCCACTTCTGGCCTATTGTACCAGCCCCAGATGATAGGTGAGGGTGATTGTGGAGCAATTGGTTGAATAAAGATTGGCAGGGGAAACCGAAGTACTCGGAGAAAACCTGCCCCAGCGTCACTTTGTTCACCATAAATCCCACTTAAGACGCAGATGATAACCGTCCACTAGAGTGCGCAGTAACGTTACACGAAATACCACATTCTAAATTGTATTCCTTTACCTTCTCAGTGAGTGCAGACTGGTCGAGTAGACCGCATATGCGATAGAATCTGCCTTTGGTTGCCCTAAAAGCCATGAATGAGTGCTCCGGTAATGACTCTTGGAAACACGTGCTTTACTTGCGACAGGAATTCTATTTTTTCGTCGCCGCTTGTAACGACAATCTGTCTCATTTATCTGACACACCACGAGATTTTCTGACGTCAAAACTTCTCTATTAATAAACCACGAGAAGACGTAACCTCAAATCCAGATTCCTTACCCCCGTCTGTGCCGGTCTCCACAATCCTTGCAATAGTTAGCATGGAAATGTTAGTATGCAACTAGGGGAAACGGGGAAGGAAAATAAGAACGTGCAGAGGGGAAGAATTTGTATTTATTTATGCCTAGTGTATCGATATTTTCACCATCTCGAATTATATCGAATTATCGAATAGCGAATTGTGCGAGAAAGAGGTCATGGCTTCATTTGAGGGGCTCCTTCTAGCATAACACCAAATCATTCAGTGCTTATATTAAAATTTCCCAAATAAAATTTATTTAAAAATAAGTAGCAGAAGAAATATTTTCGGCCTAGTGTTGAAACCGATATACTTCAGAATATTTATATTATTTGTTTAATGAATGATGAACTGGGAAAGATGTGGTATCTGTCATGGCATATTTAAGGTATTATCCCCGGCAATCGGGGGCACGCGGTAACATAGTTGGTTAAGGCATTATGCTACACGACCGAAGATCACTGTTTCGATTCCCGATGATGTCACTGGATTTTCTCAATTTGTGTAATCCTTCCAGCGGCACTATGGCTCTGGGATCGACTCAGCCTCTAACAGAAATGAGTACCAGGAATCCTCCTGGGGGTAAAGGGCCGTCGGCGCGTAAGGCTGACAACCTCACCGCCATCTGTGCGCCTATTGTCTACAAAATATGAGAGCCTTGACGTCTCACAACCATATGGGTCTCCACGGCTCGTTACAGAGACAGCTTTGCCTTTTTATCCTGTTTCCTCTGACATTCATGTTGAGCCACTGAAAAGAGTCACAAAAATTTCAGTGATGATAATTATGGTTGTAGAAGTTCGGCAATACGGCTTGAGAGGAGTCTGAGACAAATTTCCCGTTCTTTTATGGCAGAAGTGCCATCTAACTAAGCCCTGAAGGTGGATGATTACAAAAAGTGGAGACCCCACTGCTGGAAGGGAAATGGGGGTGGGTGCGGGAGGTTCAGTCCCGTTAACCTTCGGTACGGAGTCTGACCGTAGCTGCTGCTTCTTGGCGAAAAATTGTCTTCGAGTGTTAAGCCTTATCCGTGGCTTTCATTACGAAGTGAATGCGTGGTTAGTGGGAAGTGGGGTCGTCAAGACATCTGTGTGGCACTAGCAGCCGCTGTAAGGAATTAATATGAATTTAGTCTCATACAAATTGTCAGCTTCTCTTCGATATGCAAACTCGAGTCAAGACACTCCGAGAACTGTGGAAAGGGGGAAAAAAAAATTAAAAAAGGGGGGGGAGTTGTGCTGTCGTATGTCTAATGAATATTTTATTCTTTTCAGATATTTGGCGTCTTTATATTTCGAAGAATCCATCTTGATTTTCCTAAATGAATAAATTTGCATTCATTTAGCAGTTTCTGTTGTAAAATGTCATTTATACTTAACGCGATGATTTCTCACAGAGGGAGAATAATTTGAAATACCAGAAAAGACTTGTCGGCAACCAAAGGCCTGCATAACATGTAATGTCCTAAGTCAGCGAGTCTGGACATTATCTGTCGCCTCGGATATGTTTAATAACCGTGAAGTTACGGATTTTGTTCTAATTTTGTTTTGGGGCGGTTGGGGTGCGATATTTTTTTTATTTGTAAAATAGTGACGCTGTCAGCACCTCAGACGATGAAGTGTCTGTTTGTGGCATGATTACTGAATATTATTCAGGGATGTAGTTAGTGTCCTCTCTCTTTCCGCCATGGACGCCCTACTCAGAAGCAGGGCACCATGAGAATTCTCCCCAAAATAGGATTAGGGGTACTTAACCAGAAGAACTGCTTAAAAGATTTAAACTTTAAGTCATTTAAGACACTTTATTTTACTTAGATCAGCGCTCAGAATAGAAGAAGGAATTAAAAATATTTTTTTCTCTTTGATACTTGGCATATTTGTTTATTAAGAACCTCGTTAGCTCAATCTTCATAGCGACGGGCTGCACAGCTAGAGTTAGAATCCTGACAAAGGCAAGGGATTTATTTATTCACAGCATTTCGACCTGCTCTGAGGCAGGCCCAGCCTCATATCCAATGAGTGTGTTTCCCTGGGGATGAAGCGCACGGAATGTGAAGATGACAACTCACTTCCTAGTGCCGAGGTTAAGAAGGGTGGAACTTTACCTCCTCTGTCCCACATGTGTTCATGGTGTGGTGTTTTATTAATTAAACACATGAACGTATTTTAATTATATAATTTGTTGTTATTATTTAAATTCAGTGTGGTGGAAATTGTTGATTTATGGCTCTGCACCCCCACCCCACCACTCAGTGTTTCCTTGCCCAAAATATCTCTGGTTTTTGTATAACTATTTTAAGTGATCGTCCAGTCTGAATATAATTTTACCTCCGTTACAGATATCTTATGCAGAGATTTATCGAAGAAATTATCTTGATGTGTATTAGTAGATTCTAAGGGGTTCTGACGATGGCTTATAACATTCAGAATAACTGGGTTTTCGTACTCTGCCCATCGTCCGGTATTCTAAAAACTAGAAACCAGGTAAGTGTCCCCTCTATCACCTGAGAACAGAAATATATACAGTTTTCAGAACGTTATGTTTTCTGGTTTTTAGTATATCGGAAGATTCACAAAGTCCGGAAACCCATTAATTCTAATGGCTGAAATCCGAGATTAACGGCCGTGGGGATTCGTTACGCTGACCACGCGGCACCCTCTATCCGCTAAAGTTGACACTAACTTCGACGAAAAGCGGCGGTCGCTCGGTCGGTATAGTTCGCTTGCGGACTACATGCTACGGAGTTTTAGTTAGTTGCAATGGAGGAAACAAATTTTCCAAATTCAATTTTCTGTACACTGTAAAGCTTGTTTGAGACTTCATATTTTGGATATCTTAAAGAAATCTGTTCTTGCCGGCGACATATTCAAATATGCCAGTACTTACTAGAATTTGTTTCAATATTTTACGTTCTTTAAAATAATATTTTATTTTGGATTCCAATAGGAATAAATATTCTGGGCGTTATCCATGGTTCTGTTATTTTTAAACACACAACGATTCGGAGACTGTATTCTGTCCCCGAAACGTTGTGTCTAAATAAAAACAGGACGATGGATAATGTGCAGAAGCACAATATTTGTATTACGAGTAATGTACCATCGTCAGAAACTTTTAGATCTTATTTTGAATTCCATTTTTTTTTGCAAAATCCGAAAAGTGTCTTGCGTCCATCTCTTGCATTGTTTGTCCCACTGAAGTAACAGTTCAAGTTCACTTAAACAGCGTGAAAAGTAAATTGACTTTTCTTAAAATCAGGAATTACACAGCAGAGACTTGTATGTCGTAATTTATAGTTTAATTTCTCGTCGAATTTCATCGCGCGTTACAAAGTCACAATTCGGTCTTCTGGTCATAATTGTAATTTTGAAGAAATTTATCTCCTTGCATATATCGCCGTGTAGTCCTTGACTTTCAACCGATGTTTCGGATGAAAATATGGTTTCCATCTTCAGGGTTGAGCAATAAGCCGAATAAGAAAGCAGAGTGAAAGCAGGTGGCAAGCAGAGGTTGACTTTCAACGGGCCACACGGCTTCGTAACCTCCACTGTGAGAGCCTCAATTCCTGTAGTTTTAAATTTCACCTTATTTTCGAATTTGAGGACCTCACGGCAGAGGCCATGAAGAGTACGGTCTTTTGGATTGTAACACCGTATAGTTCGGGCAGAGCCTCAATCTTCAAGGTATAAGAGTAATCCAAGCTATAAACCGGTAGAAGCACCCAGCAAGTTGAGCTCTTTCCATTCACACGTTGAGCTTGTCTCCTACTTCTCCTGGTTCCTTGCTTGATTTATTTCTCGACCTGAAAATGGAATCGATGTTTTCTACCGAATGATTGGGTTCTCTCCGTTACATCACACANTTTCGGATGAAAATATGGTTTCCATCTTCAGGGTTGAGCAATAAGCCGAGCAAGAAAGCAGAGTGAAAGCAGGTGGCAAGCAGAGGTTGACTTTCAACGGGCCACACGGCTTCGTAACCTCCACTGTGAGAGCCTCAATTCCTGTAGTTTTAAATTTCACCTTATTTTCGAATTTGAGGACCTCACGGCAGAGGCCATGAAGAGTACGGTCTTTTGGATTGTAACACCGTATAGTTCGGGCAGAGCCTCAATCTTCAAGGTATAAGAGTAATCCACGCTATAAACCGGTAGAAGCACCCGGCAAGTTGAGCTCTTTCCATTCAAACGTTCAGCTTGTCTCCTACTTCTCCTGGTTTCTTGCTTGATTTGTTCCTCGACCTGAAAATGGAAGCGATGTTTTCTACCGAATGATTGGGTTCTCTCCGTTACATCACACACGACCGTACCTCTTTTTGTTGTCTTAATGTTGCGGTGTATAGATCCGTTGCAAAGTGGCGACTCTGTAAACAGCGGCTGTTGCTAGATAACGCCCGCAACATACACGCATACAACAATGTAAGAACTGTGTTTTCTATGTGGTCTGTGTAGAGTTGTTATAAACAGCAGATTTGGAACTTAGTGAGGATAGTCAGATCTGTACAGGAAGCTATGAAGGGAAGACCACAGCGCTTGAAGCTGAAGATTCTCCACTGTTAGAAGCCGTTGCCACAGAACAGGGGAATGGAAAAAGCCTTAACGGGCGCTGTGGTGATTTGTGAATTGTAGAGACTAGCGATGGCACTGTAACTGCTTGTATTACCAAGTCGTTGTGTATGTGGTCAATAAATATATTCACTATTCCAAACCCCGTCTATAGTCACACATAATGTGACATTGTACATTTATTTATTGTTTTTGTGCCTGTCATTTATTTATTCTTATTTATTGCCATTCTTTTCCTGCTGATTTTGTTTAGAATGAAGCATTTCTTCTTATTTCTAATTTTAATCTCTGTTTTATCACTCTCTCTAACCAGTAATTTAGAGGTGGCTATAAACTTCATAATGTGTACTACCTGGATCAGTTTTACGTCAATATTTATCGCATAATGTGGCATGAGCCATGTAAAGAACGCCTGTCTGATGTCTGTTGCAGGTGCCTCTCATCATTCCAATAGTGGTGCTGGCGATCTCTGTATATTTGATTGCCGCGCCGATCATAGAGAACCCTCAGATAGAATACCTGTACGCCGCTCTGTTCATCGTGGCTGGACTCATCTTCTACGTACCGTTTGTCCACTACGGTTTCGTACCAAGCTTCATGGGTGTGTAAGCTCTTCTCCCCCGCCCTGTAGACTAGTGGTTCTCAACCTCTGTGAGACCGCGGCCCGGTAAATACTTTTTTTTTACATATAAGACGAGGGCCGCGGGCCGGCGGTTGAGAAACACTGCTCTAAACTCCCATATTTGCCGAATGTTACCCATAACTTTTTCTATTTTCACCAAATATATCCATAAAATAAACACAATAACTGCCTTCATGTTGGATGACAGACATTCGATCTCGGACAGGAGCAGAGGTTTCTCTAAAGAGCACAATAATCTGGGTTGTAACGTCTTGCAGTTCAGAGATATCCAGGCGTTTCAGAGGAAAATATATTCTACAACTTCAGGTCAAAAAGTAAGCTAAGTAAGAAACCTTCAGGAATAGACAGCAAGCAGATCCAAGCTGTCGGCTTCTGTTGCTTTCTTGCTTGACTTAATCTTCGCTCCATGATGATGGAGGTGATATGTCACCCTGAAACGTTGGGATCTCTCCGAACTATCCCAGAAGGACATGCTCTTCATACTCACCCCCGTGAGAACCTCGAATTCAACAGAGATTTGTTTTGTATTCTCTGCGTCCAGACCGGCTCTGGGGACTGTCCTAGAATATCTTTTAAAGCCTGATGAAATGTCTCCCCTAGAACTAAATCGGACGGAGCTTGAAGCTGAAACGCTATTGAGGTTAATAACGAGAGAATCTATAGATCTTCCTTCACTCTCCCCATACGCCTTTATGGTATAGTGTGTAATTAATGAGAAACAACAATGTCACTTCTTATCTTTGTGTTGTTTATACATTCAAGACCGAGGAGTCTGATCTAGAAGTAACGCTCTAGATTTGTTTTCGTGAGGTGCTGGCTTCGAATTAAGCTAGGGCACCGAAATGCCATACCATAATAAGACCTCAGTTGGGCCACCGCCGTTTCCTCCTCCATCCCTTCCCCATCATCATTCACCGCGCATTCTACCATTCCAAGCTGTAGATTGTACTACTGAAATCATCGGAAACACCCAACTACAAAATACATGTACATGTAGATTCTAAAGGGTTCTGACGATGGTGGATAACACACAGAATTACTGGGTTTTTGGACGATGGAAAAGTCCCCAAACCCGGTAATTCTGTATACAAAATACATTTAGAAAAAGCTGACGGCATATCACTGAACTTCTCTGGTTGAATAACTTTGTTTCCTCTCTTCTTTTCCAGATAGCGTCACGGTGTTCTTTCAGCTGTTGCTGGAAGTAGCGCCTACTCAGTCCATCTTTGATTAGCACGAAAGAAGAAACGGGAAGTCTTAATTGACTGAAACATACCTATTCATCACGACACGGCGTGATGTTACATTCGCGTGTAAACAACTTCACAGCAAGATTTAATGTCTTGTAATTGTATTTTAAGATATGTTGTTGTATTTTCATCTTAATAACATCGTGACTTGAGGTCTAGGTTGTTTTATTCATTATAACATTAGAGAAGGGAACTTTAAAAATGTGCTGGACTCTGCTTTAAGGAAAATACTGGAAAGTAATTGATAATATGACGATATAGTATTATAAAAAAGAAAACAAACAACAATGAATTAGATCTGTGTTTGTTGTATAGAAATGATAAAAATACTCAGTAAACATCCTAATTAATAGAATAATGTAACCATTACGGTTCTCACAGATAGCTGATGGTATTAATCAGCGCTTATAATTGTCTTACCATCTGAAAACAAACAATAAGTAAATCAAAACAGTATCAAGTGTTGGAATTTGTGATGTTCTAAGCGTATTAAATTACAATCCAATTGTTGTTCTCTCTGATTAGAAGCAGGCACTGGCTTAATGTAATAGAAAATGCTAAATGTTGTTTACACATTGTCCTAGAAATTGATATAGGCAAAATATTCTAATGGCAGAGATGACATGACTATTGGAATAATAAAAATTATTATTTGCAGAAGTATTTCTTCTTACAATAGATTATATTTTGAAGCCTGTAAATATACCGTTTTCCATCTCAAACCACTATTCATATAACCAAGATATTCTGCCATGAACTTAGAGCATGTTTTCCTTATAAATATTTTTATATTTTGGGTTTTATATGTGAAAGAGATATTTACATTTTGTATTAAACTTTTGACACTATTCTGCTTACAATTCATTTTAAATCGGTTTTTATTTTTACATCAAGGGAATCCATTGCTCATGTTATGCAATAATAATAAATTATACTACAAATCCATGAATCTATTGAGTAAATGGACATACGCTCTGAGTAGTATGCAAATAAGTGTACTGATTTATACTTTTCTTTCTTATTTTTATTCAAATCTCGACATAACTGCTTTTAAAATAATGTACAATTCTTATTTCAGTACGCATTTGCTGTATTAGAAATAATTCTCTAGTAAAATCTACCAAAATAAATATTCGAAACACTTCGTATTATTTCGTTTACTGATTGGAGCGAATTCTGCTAAAAGAGGATGTAGAACACATTAACATAATAGGTTTCATGTTAATCTCAGTGTCTATATACATCCTTAGATTTAAGAAAGAGGCGCTGGTTTCCTTAAAGAGTAATCGGTTCGAGAATGGATTGAAAATTTGTTATTAAATGTGATATTTTCAACTTGTTGGCAAAGATTTCTTATCCATGGTTAATATAATTTTTCATAAGTTTAATTATTATTGATTTTGAATTATGTAGTTATGTAATGGTAGTGTAATTTGTAGAAACGAATTGAAATGACATTTTTTGTTACAATAGCAATAAAAGATAACAAATTATTCAGTTTATATCTCTAATTTTTACGTTATTGAAACCACCCTTTATATTATAAATACACCTATAAACTTCAAATTACAGTATGAAAATTCTGATTTATTTTTGTATTTTCTTTCGTTGATTCCTGATTGAAATATAAACTAGTGTATTTTGCAAGTCAACATGTATTTGTTATTCCCTTTCGTAAATATATAAGTATTTGCATTGGAGAATCCCTTCTGAGTCTCACAATCATACCATATTTGTGGTTGAAAATAATGTTGGTTCTGTCATCTGGTGTGATGGTGTTCTGATAACAGACCAAAAGAGCAATACACGTAGGACACGATGAGTGATTAAAGTGGTTGTTTATGTATAAATTTAAGAACTGGTATATGTACTCATCTATTTTATTATATTATTATTTTCCACATATCCAGTAGTTCAAAGTAATATTACATATATATCATTTATTTCCATCGTTCTATAAAAAGTAATATTTAAACATATTCTCATATTGCAGAGAACAAGTACAAGTATACAAATTGTAATTCAGTAGGTTTGTCTAATAGTTGACTATGTTGAAAGTATTCAGAAATCAATTGTATGTATCATTTTATTTCAGAAAAGAAATTTATGTTCCGAGATTTCGCTCAATTGCTGAATGGCCATTCTGACGAGTTTTATAACGTGAATGGCCGATTCTGAAATTCGTAATTGTATTTGCAAATTTCCTTAAATATCACATTACTGATTTCTAACATAATGAACAAAAAAATCAACTACAGGAAGAAATACATTTATATTAATACTATACAATTTCCAACGGCATTCTCTGAAGATCATTGAGCACATTTGTGTATAGACAACGAAATGGAAATTAGTGGACTATTCCCATACTGAATTTCAGGAAATTTATCGAAGCATTTATGGGATACATGGAAAATTCCATACAGTAAAGTCTGTTAGAGATACATATAGCTGTAGACTGGAATTATTCAGCAACTGTATTATGCATGGGGAAGTCCATTTTTGACTTCAGAAATGGCATATAATTGTGAAATCTGCAATGTTTTAGGCTGATTCTAGGCCAGAGACAGATATGTGATAAACATAGTAAAGAGCCCTTAATATTAAATCAGCACGTATTGCCAAGTGTTTACATCAGAAATGACAATTTATTACTTCTCTTTTTGACAATATGATCAGCATTTCAATATTAATTTCATGTTTATTATGGTATTATTATGTAGAAGTCAGTATGGAGCATGGATACCAGTTCCTTAATTTCGAAGAGAGAATAAATCTATGCAGACATATTAGAAGTAATACAGAATTTATAGCTATACTCGTATACGAGAATAATATCGAAGTGTAATGTTAACCAAAAAAAGAAAAAAGAAAGAAAGAAACTGTGTGATGCAAAGAAGGGAATGAAAATGTAAACCGAACGTTTAATTAAATACTCCAGGAGTAGGAAATTGACAGTTTATATTGTGCCTACATACATGAAGCAAAGAAAGAACCGGACAGCAGGAGCACTCGATATTCTCGCGAGTAAACCTACAATATTTCAATTAAATAATGAAATATTTTAAAATATTCCGTTCTTGTATTGAGGAAAATATGTTTGTTTGTAACATGTTAAAATCATACCTAACACTATTTTCTCGAGAGTGATAAAGTGGATAATTTTACACAGTGTTAATACTAATGTGTCAGAATCAGTTTGTGAGACAAAATTATATGATGAGTCACGATAAAATTAATTACAAAGAACTTGTTCCAAGATTTTCAGGCAAGGAATTCAATTTATTTTACAGAAAATATTTGTATAAGGGCAAAAATATAATTAAATAATATATTGGTGTTTATCTAAAACTACAGTACAGTTTGTTGTATGTGGGACCTTAGAAAACGCACAGGGTTAGAGAATACGGTAAATTCATTCAGAATAAAATGAAACGTTTTCACATGGTTACATATGTCTCATACAAAGAAATTATAAATTTGTTCTCCAATATGTTCTATGTTAATTGTTGGGATAACAAGATGGAATTTATTATTCCTAGATTTTAAAAACAATTTTTTTATATATATCACATTCTCTGATACATTATATTTTATTTCAAGAAATGTCAGCCTTATTCAACAATGTAATGCAAAAGTTTAGTGACACAAAGCTAAAACACCAAACATTTTGTATCATCTTTATCATTCTATATTTTGAAGGAGATTAATGCCAGAAGTATTGGTTTACCGCATTTTAAGAATAAATTTAATGATAATTACCACAGACAGTGATAATCATTTGTAGTAATGTTTATGCCATATCGTATTGAAGGATATTGAAGACTTGAAATATATTGAATATTCTTAGTTATTAATGTTTATTTTTATTCTTATATAAAAGTAAACTGTATTTTTGTTACCTGTTGAAGTCCTTCTGGTAAAATGTGATTATTGTTGCTTGAAAGAAGGATTAATAGAAAGAAAAGCATGCATAGGCGTGTACAAAGTTACAGTTATGATATTCGCGCTCAGAACAGATAATAATTTTCTTTATTTTAAGTCCCGCATTGCAAGGCCAGAGTAGTAAACCGATTTTTGGAAAACGAAAGAGTTCTAAGAGCCTTCTACAATGCAGGAATTAAAATATCATATTCAAGTATAATTGTTAAAAATGGGGCGCGAGATCTTTTGGTTTCTAGTTACATTAAGTAGAAATGTCTCTCTTCTAAATTTTTGTTAGTGATGCAAGCTACAGTAAATTTCGCCACCTGAAACTTACTGTAGAAACTTGAAGAATCTACGCCAATGATTCCAATTCTAAAACATCCGGGGTCCGGCTCGTTATTAAAATAGTAGTTCTACCTTCAGAAGGAAGAAGCTTTCTGTTTTGCGAGGAGTTTTTTTAAAATCATATACATTTAATTCTATATTAATCATGAAAGAACGGTCTTTAAAAGTGTAGCAGTTACTGATGTTTTATTACTAATAATTACATAGAACAGAATATAGTTATGTTAGTAATACCCTCGAATGCATCATCAAAGCATGACTAAGATACGTTTGGAGAAAATATTCGTGAGCAAAGAGAGACGGCTTCCCGAAATGCAGGGACGTTTCTGCATAAATAAATAATGTGTGTGTGTGTCAATTATTATTTTCGAGACCTCGTGTCTCACCGAACCTACCGTCAAGTCCCACCAATGGGACGTGTTCTACCGGCTGAGAAACATTGATCTAGATCATAATTCTTGAATAATATGCCAGAATGTGAAACAGTGTTGAAATAATCAAAATGCAATATGCAAGAAATTATGTGATATTATTTTAATAACGATTCACTCTCTTCACTAAATAGCGTAGGAAAAGGGTACCTTGTATGGCCATTTGACTGAATTGTTTCGAGATTCGTGTGGAGGATATACTTTGTTTTTTTATAAATCTGTATGCTAACTTTACTGCAGTATTGACCCGAACGCCATTTTTATTTTCTGGATCCAGTGGCGGGACTATATCTTAGGCCCCTTACAGCGTAAAGGAAACTGCACACCACTTTACTTAACTGTCAGTCACTTGATATTTTCCACAAAATGTGAAATTACAAAATTTTTCTGCCAGAATATACAGCTCTTGTTTCACTGTAAAACTTTAATCTGGCAGTGTCTTGTCTTCATGCCTTTGACTATCAAGGGTGCTACATTCTGGGATGTGTTTTCTGATAGAAGTTTTCCGATGTTTCGGAGGAGCCAAGCAAGCAGCACGTAGAGCTTTGCGTCACGTTCCAGAAGATCGTAATTTTTGAGAAATTATGCAGACTTATCGAAAAATTATACGTTTAATCTGAAAAAAGGAAACGAACTTGTAAACGTCATTGATAGGCATTGTCTGTCGTTGAGTCTTACATAAATTATGTTCAACTTATATAATAATTGAATATGGATGAATGGTGTGAGAAAGGTTTTATTGAGTTCATTGAGTCTGTATATGCATTGCTTCATTTTCAGTATATACGTCCCTAGGAAACTCTTTGTGCTCTTGTGTTTTATTTGTAATATCTGATGTTAATTTTGGTATAAAGCAGCGAGTATTCCGTTGTAGCCTTTCACGTGTTTATCGCATTTCAATTTTTTTGAAGTCTTAATACTTACAGAAGAATGAAAAAGTATGAAACGATAAATAGTGTAAATACAACATGACTGAAAAATTAAATATTCTTTGTAGGAACAACATTTTTTTTGGCATTCTTATTCAAATGATATGATCTACAAATTATCAATAGCAATTTTCATCAATGAGTATGATATTTTTTTCTGAATTTCGTCATTTTTCATATTATTTTCATTGTTGGGTCCCATGATAAATATACCAGTGTTTAAATATTTGTGCGTATTACGAAAAATTTATGAATTATGTAATTATCGGTTTAACCCTGATGCAGAGGGCCACAAATATTCACAACAGCTCTCAGAAACTGATGCACAAAACTTGATAATCAAAATAGATATATTCCTATTGTAACAGAAAATCATAATGTGATAATCACAGTATTTAAATGCCTACACCTTGTATACAGAATGAGATGATACAAATATATGAATAATTTAATATGAAATTTAACAAACGGATCAAGCTTAAGGTGCTAACTTTGTCCTGCTGAAACCTTCAGAGGTGTAGAGTGTACAAAGAATTGTGTTAATTCACAGCTACATAAAATAATGTTTAATAAGAACATACAAGGCCATGAAATAACGGATGAAAAAGATACTGGAAGGTATCAAGTTTAAGAAACTTACAACACTTAATGCTTGGAGAGATACAAATTACGGAGGGCATCTTTAAAGTCAAAAGGAAGAATATTTTATTGAAATTGATGAAAATAACTAACTAAGATTAGGTCGGTCTAGTTTTCTGAAGTTAGAGATAAAAATAAAAATAAAGAGAGAATTAGATTAAATTAGAGAATTTAAAGAATGTATGTTGTTTTATTTAGCAATTGGAGTTCTGTGGGGAAAAACTACCAATAATTCATTTTAATTTCAGCACTAATTGCCATGCCAGAATATTTATAAATACCAATTTAGTTATGAATTAGGGACATTTATTTTAAAATAAATACATTTATTTAAGAGTAATTAATTTTCACATTTACAAATTTTGATTAAATATTAAGACGACAGTTAAACACAGAACTACAGAAGTATCATTCCATTTATTGTGATGGGTTCGCAGCGAATAGGATTTCGTTCGGTATTTCAATGTGTAAAGAATCAATTTATGAATATTTTTATGCTAGGTTATGCTATTCGTGAGTTGCCTTAATACTGAGTTATGAAAATTGCACTTTTTTTAGATAATAGTTACGCGTGATTTAATTTATTTTCCAAATGATTCTTCCATTTTACTTGCCAATTTGTATACAAATATAAAATACGATATACGTAAGGAATGCTGATACAGTGTGTACACGCCTATGCTGCAGTGTGTTCCTTAGTAATATTAACCATGACGAATGGACATGTAATGAATTTCAGTAATGCATAATAAAATATAAGATTACTTTTCATAAATATTTTCAGCGTATAATTTTTCTTTCTCTCAAACAATCCCAAACCGAGATGAATAAGATTATTGCATTTTTATCTGACGTATTCTTTGAGAAAAAGTGAATAAGATTTCGGCCGTAATATGCAGGCACCCTGACCTTGCACTGCACCCTTCAATTATTGTTTCTTCCTTCACGAACAGTGTTAATCTCTTACATGTTGAAGTTCTTTGTACAGTTCAGATTTCTGAGTCGATATCTCTCGAAACATCATCATTGGAAAGTATAGTAATGAGAAAGCTGGTATGAGCTTAGTTGTTACAAGTTTATGCTTCTTGTAGAGGATTTTGTACAATCTGTGAAGTCTGCATTTATTTATTTGTGTGTGCTCTGGCCAGTTGTGATTAAGTCAGAACAATTACCGCTGAGGTTAATGAACTTGAATAAAACGGAAACTGAGTGAAGGTTATGGAGACCGGATAGGTTAAAATCCTTTGTGTTATGTGTACGTAGTTCATAGACGGGAGGATTATATTGTACCATGACGTATTAAACCCGGAATACTGAAGTCAAAGCGCATGTTGATTTCCTATGCGACAAGTATTAACAGAGCACGTTCTCGGCACATAGGTTTCGGTTACTAGGGGTCTGATACGCGCTGGGTGAATTTAACTGTTGTAAGCCGATACCCAAGGCAGCGAATCGTTCAGAGCACAGGAACAGGCAAGAAACCAATAACAGTACTGTTGAAAGAGATGACTTCTACACGGTTCCCCGAAACCTTATAACAAGGGAGCAATTTGCTAGACGAAAGAAGAACCGAGAAAGGATTCAGTGAGCCAGGAGTTCCAGCGAGATCCAAACAGAATTTAAAAGAAGTCAGAAGACAGAAGGCAGAAGTGAAGCCTTTATTTTATGAAGCGTAGCTACAGTAACCTTTAGGGTGTCAACATTGTTCGTAGTTACGAAGTTGTATAGTTACAGTAAGATTGAAAGTGTTGTAGCTCTGTCTGGTGAACATCCAGAAAATGGACTGAACGAGCCAAACCCCCAGTAGAAATTACTAATACACTCGACAATATGAAAATGGATCATGAGGAAGTGGGGTGGGGTGTGAACAGGATTCATGTGGCTTTGGATAATCCAGTGGCGGACTCTTGTGAACACTATAACGGCTTCCTATTCCGTAACAGACTGGCTTTTCTTGAGGAGTTGAGTGACTACAAAAATGATTATTAACGTCGTCCAGTGTGATTAAAAAATATTGCGTTTTCTTAAAACTTTCATCCGAGCGACCATCTTCAGAAAGACATTATCAATATATATGGAAACTATAGATATAAAATGTTTTTTAACAATTTCTAAGATGTGAATAAATTTGTTAAAATATTCATAAATTATTACAGTTAGTCTATTTACAAAATATTGTTTAAAAAACTTTTTGCTAAAAACTAGAAGCAATTTGTTTCGAGTTTTTATACACCTTCTCCTTAACGGAAGATGAATGTATGCCACGTCGTGGTTCCGTTGTTTGAAGAATAGGGCTCTTTAGTGTCGTTGCCCAGTTGTTCGGGTCATGCTGTGTTGTTATGTTGTTACTAGTGTAACGGACCAGGATGAACCAAGTCAGAAGTTGAGTTACTATTTGTTACCAAAGCCAATCTTCGCTCCGTTTAATTAATTACATATATTTAACTGTAAACAAACCTCAATCTCAGTTAAAGCGTTCACACTCAACATATTTTACGTACTCCCAGCAATTTCTGACGAACGAACTGTGAAAGATATATGTTTTATGGAGCTTACCTATGTTTTTTAATGGATAACAAGTAAAGTGAGGTGCAGCTGGAGAATTCGTGCATACGGATCTACATTGGTGAGTTGAATTTTTATTTTTAAGTGCCTGAAATATGTATTTTTAAGGGGTATGGTGTACAGGCCTATAATAATTTTAGCATATGTAAGTGAAATTGGCACATTAAAACAACGCAGTGAAAATGACGTGCTACAGAATTGGAATTGATTCGTCGAAATGGCACGGGACAGATTTATTGGCTACACAAAAAAAAAACACACACAGAAAGGGGGAATAAATTAAGAATAAAAAACTGAAAAATAAATATGAAGAACACAATGCATATAAGAATAATTCATTTAAAAATATTCATCTAATAGAAGACTATGTGGGCTTTCAAAGCGTAATGAAATATCTTCAAAAAAGGGGTGGGGGACTTTGATATGCTATTGGAAGAACTGAGAAATGTGGACACTGATGTCAAAATTGTCCGCCCTTGAATGTCGTATCATTTCTGATATCAGTATAATGATTAGTAATAATTATAGTTTCTATTAACGTATTGTTTGAGCGGCCTCCGTAGTCTAGAGGTAACGTCCCCACCTCATGACTCGTAGTACGCGGTTCAAACCCGGCGGAGGTCGTGGAATTTTTGAGGGCGGAAAAATTCAGGGAACAATCCTCCGGGAGGGACTTTAAGCCGTGGGCCCCGTGTCGTAGCTTTACGGCACGTAAAAGAACCTCATATCTCCTAAGGAGGTCACTGAGCCAAATTCAAGGACATTTCCCGCCCAACAGTAGTCTCTAACGCCTCTGATAGATGGGAGAAGCATTATAGATACCGCTAAGCCAGTAGAGGCCGAACTCGCTGGCTTGGTCGGGGCTGATGGTAAGCACCAGTATCGGTAGGGTATAGAGACTGGTAGAATATCATAGAGGGAAGCACAATAGATGAAACTAGTCGCGGTGCATGGGGAAACCCACCCTCTCTAAATAACTAATAACTAACGCCTTGTTTGTATGTAGATTACGTGTAAAATAAATTTAAATATTTCGGCTTATTGGCCATCATTAGCTATTATACTTTTATCTTTAGCTCGGCTTGACCCTCTCTACATTGACCTATGTTTACATCTGACATATCACAGTGACCAGTGTGGAGAAGGAATAGTTAAACGGTGAATATACTACGCCTGATGATAGTAAAAAAAATCCGAAATGTGTAGTATACATTAAAAGCGATATATATATATACACATACAGAAGCCGGGATTAGGAAGATCCAAGAAAACCAGGTGGGAATGAAATTAAACGAGACACATGATGTGATGATGTGAATCTACTGGGTGATAGTTACCGTAAACAGAAGCACATGAATTTTAATTGATGTTGTAAGTAGGTTGGTCCAGAAGTAAATACACAGAAAACTTAGTGTATGTTGCTGTCTCGTCACCAAAATGCAGGGCAAAATCATGATATAAAGATAGGAAACAGATGTTTTGAAAATGTGGC